TTTTAGCAAATATTTCCACTAAAAATCTGTGTCCTATGGTAGAAATAGTCTATAGTATATCTATATAATAGGATTGGATGCTGTTCAGGCACTACTTCTTTAATGACTTTTTATACTGTTAATGGCTCAAAACATAGCTTGGCCATAAAGGTATCAGAAAACCCATTAACCTTAAGGATGGTCCTGTGAGGACTTACTCAAGGCAAAAAGAAATACAAGATCATATTCACTACTTTCCCTGGTGTGTGTGATGGTGGTGCCACATCTACTCTATAAAACAAAAGGCTACCCAGGGCAGTGCATCTTACTAATCATTGTTCCTTTCACTTGCTGTGAGGTGCATTTGGCCTCTTGGTGGAGTCATTGCCATTATAACTTCTGATGCCCTTCAGCTCCCAGAAAAGTACCCAACATCTGCTCCTTCCTTGGCTTTCCTCAAGCTGCACAGTTTTCTCTCACATTAGGGTTCTCCTAGTCTTGTTTTCTCTAGAATCCATCATACCACTGCAGTAAGTCAAATTGAAAGCAATTATTTTTTTTTCTGAAAATACTCTAGGTACCAGGAGACCAAGAGTCATTGTTGGTTGATTTTGACTCAAGGAATTCTTGTTGTAGTGAGAAAATAATGATAGACAAATGTTTCACATTATATGAGAGATAATAACTATTTGAGAAGTTTTTGATAGTTTTTTTTTTAAAGATTTATTTATTTATTTATTTATTTATTTATTTATTTATTTATACAAGCACTGGGTACAGTCAGAAGCGCGGAAGGGTGAGAGGATTCACTAGAGCCAGAGCGGGGAACAGAACAGGCAGACTAACGAAATACACTGCTGAGGGGAGCAGCGGGCGGCAGGAGAGGTATGCGCGCCTTGTGGGACCCTCGCCCAGTGGCCGGGGATCAAACCGACGCTGCAAAGGCTGTGGGCAGCTTCGCAGCCCAGCCCTCAACCGCTGCGCCACCAGGGAAGGCCTGTTTTTGGTAGTTTTGTTTTATTTTTACTTAAAGGAAATGTCAAATCCTTAGCTTTATTGGTCACCCTTTAGGAGATTTCTAATAGTGTGATGGAAATTGCTTTCCCAATGAACTTTGTTTATAGTAACTACTAGACATTTGTGTTCAACAATAAATGGACAATTTTTTAGTGCCATAGAAGTTGGAAGAAAAATATAACTTTTTCTAGATAATGCCAATTACCTAAAGCTTACAAATATCATGTTAAATTTGTGGAAGTTTCTTTAGGACCTCAACATCATCTCCCTATAAATACATATAGTTAACATTTTACTACTCTTTTGTATTACTAATATACAGAAGTTTTTCTGTTACTATCTTTTATCACAATTATCTTTTAATTTGAGTTTATATGCCTCTATACCTGCCTACATTTTTGTTTCATATAAGTTTTCTAGGTTTTCCCTTGAACATAGGTCCCTCAAATCAACAAAAAGCAGGTGGCATATTCTGAATGCATGACATTTTTAAGGAGATGGTAGATAGAATTATTAACTATCCTATAGAAAAACAGATTTGAACAAATTGGGGTTGCAACCAACCAAAGTTATATATACAATATCACAAATTATGGTGTGTGTATGTAAAGGAAGAGGGCTTTCGGTTGTTTGTTTCATTTTACCAAAGAAAGAGGAGCACAGCATATTTGCATCAGTGTTTAAGAGCTTGTAGAGCTTGACTTTCACAACCATTTGGGGACTGAGGTGTAGAAAACATCACCTGGGGAAGTATGAACAATAGTTGTAGAAAGAAGAGCACCATGTAAATGATCTCTTAATCCAACTGAACCGACATATAGAAAGGAAATTCGAGTGATTTGAATCCTAGATGAACTAAGAGTGCCATTATTTCAAACATTAGCTTGGAAAGTTAAGAAAAGTCTGCATCATCTTTTGCAGAGGAATTGCTATCAGTGACATGAAGAAAAGAGAGGTATAGGGATTTTATTAGGAACAATAGAGAAAACAAATACTAAACTGATTACCTGCTGTTTCCAAAGAGAGATGGATTGTGTTTCAAATCAAGATCACACTTCTCTTCAGGTAAATGGTGTGATCTTCACAATCAATCAGACGATGGAAAGTAGGATAGCATTGAAGACTTAGAATATCAGAAGAGTAGAAAAGCTTGAAGGAAATGAAAAGTGAAAACTATATTCAGACTGGTATATGCCTTTTATTCTGTTTCTGCTTACTTTATTTTTTTTCAAAGATTTATTTATTTTTATACAAGAGCCGGGGTACAGGCCAGAGGCACAGGAGGCTGAGAGGATTCACCAGAGACAGAGGCTGGAGCAGAACAGGCGCACGACTGAAATACACTGGGAAGGGAGCAGCGGGCACAACAGGAGAGATCATCCGCGCCAGGTAGGCTGCCGACAGCTTCACAGGGCTGTGCTCAACCTGCTGCACCTTGGGGGAGGCCTGTTTCTGCTTACTTTATTATTTTTTTTAATATTTTATTTTATATAATTCTTACATCATTTTTCGTCTTTGCACAATGTATGCATTTTCATTATGGTTATATTCCCCATACAATTGCACCCCCCCTTATTTTGACTCTAGTCCTTCCTCTCCTCACCTTTCCCCCCACCCCAGTGTGTCTCTAGTTTATAGTTGCTTGTTGATTTTGATTTTTACTTTGTATTGATTAGTCTTTTTCCTGGTCTCTTATTTAGGTTTTTTAAATTCCTGCTATGAGTGAGACCATCCGGTATTTTTCGTTTTCTTTCTGACTTATTTCGCTGAGCATGGTTAAATCAAGTTCTCAGAGGTTATATTTTCTTTAAATATTTTTTAACTGTTCCTTAATTAAATGAGAGCAGAGATGGCCTTTATGTTAATGGTAATAAAATACTGCTTGAAAAAAGATTACAATACAAAACACAACAAAACAAAAACAAACAGACAATTATAAATCAGAGACATCCTGCAGAGGGAGGAGGAGGGAGAGAGATCAGAGGGGGGAGGGAGGTGCACAGGGGACTGAGATGTTGGTGCACGGGTGCATTGGGGAAGGAAATTCTATGGGGACTACACCTGAGGGGGGGAGCAAACATTGTTTAAAAAAACATTGTAAAAAATTGATGTAAGAAAATATATAAAAAATAAAAATAAATAAAATAGCTCGAAAAGAAATGACTATACTATTATTTTTAAAGTCACATGACAAATATATCGCATATTTTACAAACAATTTAAGATGAAAATAAAATGAAATAACTAATCTGATTTCTTTGAAAGCCTATATGTAAATGTGTGCAAGTTTAACAAACCAATGTTTATTTCAAGTTGAATTTGATTTTGATACCTTTCTCAAAGGTAATCAACTTGAGCTAATGAACTAAATTTTGAAATATGCTGTCATTATAAACTTATAAATGTATACTCATTTCTCCATGCAAAAGGTCCAAGTCTCTTGTCCAAAATGATGATCAACTCCTTTAACATTCTAAAGAGAAAGTAAAACATCAAATTGATCATTTACAGATGTTATGTTATGGTGAGAACTCTGAACAAATTTACATTTATCTGTTTGAGGACCAGGTATATTTTTGCAAGATTCTTGTCATCAGCAAAACTGGGATTATTGTGATAACTCTAAAATACAAGTGCCTAGTTGAGGGAAGTTTATTTTTAGGATAAAGTCATATTTTAACCATGATGTTTTTTTCTCTGTTACTCAAATAACTTCTACCTCTAATTCCTACTCAAGTTTGAGGTAGATGAAAATTTTCTCTGCTAGTAGATAAATATATACTGCATGAAGAAATAAAATCAAACAGATCAATAGAACAATGCACAAACGAAGCATTCAGTTTATTTTCTTTTTTTTTTTTCCTATCCAGAACTTTTCTGAGTAAATTCATTTGACCATAAAATTCACTGAATCTATATAAACAGGGATACCAAATAATTGATTTAAAATTTGCTTGTTTCACTTTGAAAAAAATTACTTGTTGCTAAAGTTATTAATTTGCTTCATTCAATAAAGAGACCATAGGAAGAATTGAAATTATTGCTTAGCTACACTGCTAATTTTATACTTTTTTCTCCATTTTACATGAATTAATTTACTTTTCTATATTGAATACAGTGGAACACTATTCACCTGTTCTTTCTTCAACTAAGTTAACAATTTCCCCCCCAAAAGTGACACATGTGTGTAGTAGAATATCAATTGCAAATTTGATAAAGATATTATTTTTTCTTCCAATAAAGATATTATTTTCTTGCTTCCCCACCACCCATCTACAAGGGGTGGGGAGGAAGGTATATCTATCCTAGTTTAAAAATTTTCCTAACTTTGAAAATCTTCCAGCTGTATCTTAAAAGGAGACTTTGGCTTTTGACTCTCTTTCCTGTCTTATGGATAAGAGCCTGACTGTTTTCATAAACAGTGGCCAGCTGTTCAACTTTTAATACCGTTCAACAATCTCCCACTTTTCACAGAAGAAACACATCTTGATTACATCTTCTTGTCCTGGCTAAGTTAAACTCATTAAAGATTTTGCATTTATAAATTCTTTCGTAACTAAGACACTCAAAAAATATATTCAGCTGTTGGCCTATACTTAGAAGTTCCTTATAAATTTCAACCATCTCCTCTTATTTATGAAGCAGGTTGTTCAGGGATGACTTAGAGTCTTTAGAGTAAAAATCTACTAAAGACTGGAGTTGAAAGACAAGAATACAGTAGGCACATACAAGAAATAGTCAAAGTACATAAACGAATCCGATGTAAATGGAAAAGCAGATGCAAAGATATGTTATGGGAGTAAGAAGTGCTTCTAGTCTTCATTGTCTGTTCACCACCTAAGCCCCTTAAGAGTAGCCATACAGCTGTGTGGGATGGCCAAACTTGTCACAAGGGGGATTCTGCTCAACAAATGGCTAGAACTCAGGGAATCCAAAATTCTAAATGGATTCATTACAGAAGAATCTAAATGCTTTATTTTTTAAGTGAAGATTTACTACAAAGATTGAGAAGATGCCAGGCAGAGTAGAAAAGAAAGGAAGGAAAAGGAATACATTAAAAAAATACAGATATAAATTTTAAAACAGGTATTTATTTCTGTGCAAATAATTAAAAAGTAAAAAAAAAAAAAAAAGAAACTCTTTTTATAGAATCCAAACAATGAGAATAGACATTCTGGGGAGTCCTCATATTCTCATAAGACAGAGGATAGATATGGCCATGGATGTGGACATGGGCATGGACATGGAATATGCATTGCTGTAGAAGTACGTCCCTTCTGAAATGTAGACCATCGTAGGCAGGTATTGTATGGGGATAGAAGTTGGAAGGAGATGAGAGAGGAAAATGAAAAACATTTCCATAAGGTATTTAAATATCTGATGAAGAAAAATTCCTGAGTGAAAAAATTTACCCATTATTTCTCAGAGTATTATGAATTGCTTTTACATACATTCTTTCAAGTCTTTCTAAAAGTCCTCAAAGGCAAATGTGTCACATTAAGTCCAGTGTAACTCAGAGCCTATTTCTTGTGAAGCTATGTGTGTATTTTCCTTACTAAATCAGTGCTTATGAGTTTGCAATTCCATAAGGGACTTGGAACTAAGGAACTTCAGCAAATAGAAGGATAGATAGTAGAAGGTTTCCTGATAAGCTATTTAAATGTCAATATAGTGTGATGTTTAAACTTCCTGAAATTTTTTTAAACAAGATTATGGGTACTTTTCCTGAATATTTATGATTATACCAATTCAATCAAGCAATAAAAAGATAAAATGTCTTTTTTTTTTTTAACATTTCAGCTGCCTCTATAATTTGTTAAAAGAGAGTTTTGTAAAAAGAAATTTCTCAGCCTCCCCTGGTGGCGCAGTGCTTGAGCGCTGGGCTGCGAGGCTGCCCGCAGCCTCTGCAGCGCCAGTTCGTTCCCGGCCGCCAGCAAGGGTCCCACAAAAAAAAAAAAAAAAAAAAAGAAATTTCTTATGTCCAATTTAGAGTCTCCTTGAAATTTAGAAATTGTATACTGGCCAACAACTATGGATTTGACATGTAAGTATCCTCTCAAGAAGGAAAGGGAAAATACAACGATCAAGCATAATGTATAACTTTGGAAAAAGAACACTGTTTTAGACTTACATAAAGTTTCTCCATGTATGATCTTTGATTTTTTTCAGCAACTCTGTGAAGTTGACAAAATATCATTTCCCCCATTTCCCAGATGAGGAAGCTGAGGTGCCAAATGATTTTGCGCCTTGTTTTAAACAATGTGCTATTTAAACTGTAACCCTGGAATTCCAATCAGTTTTTGTAGCTCTAACATTCCTCCATTCCTATATCATCTGCCAAGACTGCTAAAAGGGAGATGAAGGATGACCAATTAATTACAATATCAGAAATTAACTAATAGTTTTTCCTTTCCAGTTAAAAATTTTTCATTTGGATTGTGAAAAAAAAGTTAATATAAGAAAATTAAGCATGCAAAAAACTTCTCTTCATCAATTTGTTCCTTTTCCAAATCATGGAATTTAATGAAATTGTTGCTGGGGATAACAGTAAACACCTCAAAACATAAACATGCAGATCAAGCCCATGAGTTTAGCGATAGTCATTAAAATTCAGAACTGCTATTCCTTTTCTGATTAGTTTGTAAGATTTTAAATATATCGCATGGCAGAATTTTTGGGGGAAAATGAAATGAACCTAAGATTGACTGGAATTTACAAGCTCATTTAAAGAAAAGTCTCAACTATTTTTTCTTACAAATGTAATACCTCCCCAGACAGCAGTCTTTGTAGTTTGTGGCACTGATTCAAAAGGCATATTAACTGCCACTCTCCTAGCTGCATCAAGCATTTACAGGCCTCCTTACAGAATGGGTTCAACAGTAATTAAAATAACACCCTTCTTCAGGGTGAAAGCATACTTGAAGATTTTGGGGATTTTTTTCCCCTTCCTTTGGGTAAATAATTCCTCCTACCTCCATAAGTTCAATATGTGAGAGAAAGATGAGAGTAGAAAAACCTTAAGAGAAAAGAGACAGAGGTGTGTGTAGGGATGGGGAGAGGTTGAGGAGGGCAAGGATTGGGGGAGGGGGCAAAGATAAGGTGGAGGGGGTGGACAAAGAGAGATCCGAAATAGTGCACTAAAGCCTGAGTCACATAAACTCTGTTAAAATGTTAGTATTTCTTTCATTCCTTACCCGACATTGATAGACAAACAGGTTTAGAAAAGAAAAGAAAAAAAAAGCAAGGGGGAAAAAATACCATTTACTCACTGTAGCAGCATGAAATCAAGGAAAGAAAATAAACAGGGCTTGAGTTGTGGGCCTTTAACCTGCTAGTCAGACAGTTTCATTCGGTATGTATTTGTGTGCTGGTAAATGGTGAAGGGGAGGTAAAAGGACAGGGGCCTTGTGGGATTCTTGGGACTCCCACAGCTACCAGTCCAGCTGTACAAACATGCACAAGCTTTGTTAAGGTACAGTGGGCAACAGGCTGAAACTGCTGAGCTATCTGACCTATAAATCCCTCACAAAAGCTCCACGTGAGGGGAAGCCAGAAGTTATGTGTAAATGCTTTATCCAGCCAGAAGCCAGCTATTGGTCATTTCCGCCCCCTCTCTTTTTCTCTCAATGGATACTCTGACTGGCTATATATAAAGTAATATGTTTAGATACATAAATGACCATCTTAAACTCTACTTCCTCTAGGCCAAACAAAAAAGGGAATAATGACTCAGAAGTTCCTCCTTTATGACTTTACTGCTTAAGGCATATGTTCCACAATTAAGAGCAATAAATTTAGGCCAAGCAGTGGAAATTTCTGTTATTGTTCTTGTCTTTAAATTTCTTTTCAAACACAGTAAATGCATCACGTTAAAATTACTGCAAATCTACATACACATATTTTTAAATGACTCAGCCTCCCAGGGATTTCCGATATTTCCTTAAATATGATACCACTTACTTTACCCTAGTTTTTCATTTTGCCTTTAGTCTTATTCACAACAGAAAATATTAGTATGGCATATTGTACCTAGAATGCAAACAATTCAGAAGTTCTAAATTGCTAACCCCAAGGAGATATTTCTTAAGAATTTTCTTCTCATTTCTAAATATTTCTGACCTCCACATGACCTTCTTTTATAAGGCTCCCAAATGGCATCAAAACATCTTAGCATGGAATTGGTAAGCTATATAGACTATTAAAAAGCTGAAGGATGAATACAGAGCAAAGATAAGTGAAACCGATTAAATATAAGTATAAAGAGACTCTTGTAAAGATTCAGAATGCTAGAGAAGTCCCTACATTGAGAAAACTTGGAAGCAAGATTGGACTTTCAAAAATTCTGGAAAGAGAGAAAATAATATAATCCATACTAGAAACAAAACATATAGGATGGCATGTCAAGACAACGGGGTGAGTTACTCAGTCATATACTGGGTCTCTCCCATTATACAGGAGGTATACATGTTACTGTTAAAATTCTTTTTTTTTTTAAAGATTTATTTTTTATTTATTTATACAAGAACTGGGTACAGTCAGAAGAGCGGGAGGGTGAGAGAATTCACCAGAGCCAGAGCAGGGAGCAGAACAGGCAGAGGGACCGAAGTACACTGCTGAGGGGAGCAGCGGGCGGCAGGAGAGGTCTGCACGCCATGTGGGACCCTCCTCTGGTGGCCGGGGAGCAGCCGGGGATCGAACCTGCGCTGCAGAGTCTGCGGGCAGCTTCGCAACCCAGCGCTCAACTGCTGCGCCACCGGGGAGGCCCCATTGTTAAAATTCTATAGGACTTTTTCTCTTAAAGTCTATCTGATGCTTGATCTTTTGTCTGCCTCGAGGAAGCCAGAGGGATATGGAATGATTTTCTTTGGGCCCAAACAATTTGGGATGTCACCAGGAGACCTATGATAGGTTGGAGCTCACTTTCTTTCAAGATGTCTGTAAGAGGACACAATATTTGCCTTCCGAACATGCCAGCAAACAAGGTAAATATTTTTACACTTCAGACCCCTGATGTCTCTCCCCCCGTAGCATCTCCAAAGTTAAATGTGGGCAACTCCATTTTGAATCTGTTCCTTTTATCATTACTTCAGTGGTTTCCCAAATCCTTCTTTTGTAAAAATGAAAGTTTTATGAAGCTTAAAAATAGGAATTTATTGAACATCTAGATCATTCTGACAAATGAAATAGAAATTCTGACTTTCATAAATGAAGATAATGCTAGTGATCACTATTTGTGGTGATTACAGCTTAGCTATAGTTTATCAATGCCTCTTGCCTTGCTCCTATAAACATAATACCTACCACCTCACTTTATCATTCATTTGCACACTTAAAAATTTGCCACCTCAAAGTTGAATAGGATATAAAGTTTCATATCTGATTTAAGCCTCTTGAAAGATTCAGACAAAAACAGTGATCACTTTTAGCTAAACATATAAAAAGGGAGGAGCCATTTTAAAGCTATAAATAGAACAACTATATCAAACTTCAGTGGAAAAGTTATTGTCCTGAGATTTAGAACATACAGTTCCTCCTCTGAGTCCACAGAAATTACACAGTTGCATCTGTTAAGATAGAAAAGGAATTGTTTTCCTTCCCTACTTCATGTGAATGTAAAAATATTTAAAAATCAATTACATTATTATTAACACAACATCTTGTGATACTAGAATAATTACAAAACAATAATATAAAATAATGGGGCACATAAAGTTTATTAGTCATCTCCCTATGAGCAAATGTAATTAATATGTTTTAAGTTTCATAAAATTTATCACTTAGATTCACTAAGTATGCCAAATGCTAAGCAAATTATTATTTTATTGATATTATTTCCAAATTTTTGTCACTCATTATCACAAATCTTTGACAAATATTGACACAGCATAGTATGTCAGAATTGTGCCTTAGAGACTTGAACATTTTTTTGCTTTATTCAATTTTCTTAGCTAAAACTAGTGAAGCTTCTCTATTGAATCTTGAGCTCTACTAGTCCTACCATCTTCCTGGAATACAAACTAGATAAGTAATATCATTTAGAATTTTTTAATACAAAAAATTAATATCTGACTAGAGGAGTAACTGACAAGATACTCCATAACACCAGTATTGTCAAAGTGATATGACATAGGGGGCAGTAGTTTTTAAAACCTTTGCCAAAATAATATTCATTTTTTAATGCAGTATATTTTTAGATGTTGGGAACTATTTACACAGTTTTATTTGGTTACTCCCAATTTAGATATTAACCTACAGTAATTCTTCCAACTTATTATTCTAAAATTAATTATTAAATACGGTTATTTCATCTTAACATGATTAGATGTATTTTTTTGGAACTATAAGTCTCCACACGCACATGTGTGCATGCACACACACACATTCAATCAATCGGGCAAAGATGCATTTATTCAGAAGAAGGGATCTAATAATTCCTGAGAGGCTATATTCCATACACTCCCAATACTATACACCTCACATATCACTGAAATCTCACATCAATCATGTGAAATAGATATATTTGATTCCTATCTATAATACCAATCTACTAAACTGATAAATTTACACTTATACTCTAAGTATGCTCTTGCTTCAATGGAATTGTTTTCTCATTTATTTGTTTATGTGGCTGCACAAAATTTCATTTGTACTGAGATTCTCATAGTTAACGAGTTAGGAAGCTACTTTTATAGTACAGAGTCTCCCAAGTATGTGGGACTGGTCTTTTCTACTCCCCTATATTTAAAATGGAAAAGTCAGGGAGACACCATTGGAAATTTGTAATAGCTACCTGACTCTGCAAAAGGGAGCAACATTTTGCTAAATTTACTCATTTTCTTGCTTTAGAAAACTTAACTTTGTTATTTGATATATTCTTAACTTTTTGATAAAAAAATGCGGAAGATATCCATGTTTCCAGGAGACCTTTAACTTATACTTAAACTAACAGAAGCAATATCTACCATGTGAAATAGGAAGACAAAATAAAACACTTGCATTAAAAAATGCACTTGACTTACTCCCCAAAACACATACCAGTCTAATCATGAGGGAAAATTTCATATGAACTGAAAACTACCAAGTACAATTTCCATCAATTGGTGGGGCATGTGGGCAGCTAAATATTCATAAAGTGCTCCTGGTGAAAGAACCACTTGTTTTTTGGACCTCAGGGATGGGATACATCTATCCAGTATCCAAAGTACTATCACCTTGTAAATTGGCCTTAAAGCCAAACCTAAATTCACATCACTGAACAGACACAAAGAAGAGACACCATAAATATCTCTTTTGGATCACTCTGGACTTTGGACAAGGTATTACTAAATCCAGAAGAAACTGTATTCTTTTCTACATATTTCCTAGACTGATAATTCATCTTTTTGGGGAAAGTTTATCAACCTCAAACAGTTGCTCCCATATGTCTAACCAACACCTCTTCTTTTTGAATCTAAGTCCACTTTGAGTACTTCTTCCCAGACAAAGAACAAAGTGACAATTGTTCCTCTTACCACCCAAATCAATGAAATAAAATGCCTTTTTAAACCCTCAACACATATATTACAGATGTTAATGTTCAACTTCTAATTATAGAATAGTTTACAGTAAGTAAAGCTACATAGAACAATGCCAATATAACATATCTAACTTTTATGGCAAAAAGTATTTCAAATGAAATATGCTATTATGGTGGCATTTTTAAAGGAATTTTACGGGGTTAGAAGATGCTCCATTCCCATCGTAGGGCATTAACTCATCAATTTGTAAAGGTGTCCTTAATCTTGATTGGACCTCTGCAGTCAGAAGCTATAGGTTACTATAGGGGCTCCTCATCACAATGGCCATAGACCTTTTTTTAATTAATTTATTGTTTACATTGTTGTGCATTTTTGTACAGTATTTGATTTCTCCCCTCAGGTGTAGTCCCCATAGTTCTTCCACCAACAAAGCACCCGTAATCCATCACCATAGTCCCTTGTGTTCTTTCCTCTCCTGTTTTGACCCTCTTCTCACCCTCTCCCCTCACTCAGATCTATGGTCAGCTTGCAAGTCTTGTCTTTTTCCTGACCTTGGTTTGGGCTTTTGAGCTGTTTGTGCTACCTCTTGCATTGTCAGTTGGCAAAATAATAGTTATCCATAGTAGATGGGGGCTTAAAAGCTATCTGAACTTTGATTTCTCTTGACGAAAAAACTGCAGATTCATAGATACAGTGTGTGTTTAGGAGTGAAGTGCTAGAAAAAGTGCAGCACCGGAAAAGGATGAATAACAGGTGACCATTAAAACAAAAAACCTAACATCCTTCTTAAAGTAGTTACAAGCAACTATAACATAGCATAATGAAAGAAAGGTTGAATTTCATTTTTTTAAGATTTATTTTTATTTATGCATACAAGAACTGGGATGTAGGCCAGAGGTGTGTGTGTTGGGGGCGTGTGTAATAGGATTCATCAGAGACTGAGTGGGGAGCAGAACAAGTGGATCCATTGAAATAAACTGCTGAGGGGAGCAGTGGACAAGACAGGAGAGGTCTGCTGTGCCATGTGGGTTAGCTCCCTGGCTGGGGATCCAACTCATGCTGCATGGTGATAGCTTCATAGCACTAAGACTTTAACTCCTGTGTCACCAGGGAGACCCAAGAAAGATTGAATTTCTATCCATTCATATAGAGAAACAAACAAGCTTCTTTTATTTTGAAATATGGAAAACAGTATATTTTTTTCCTTTCTTTCTTTTTTTTTTTTTTTATCTCTAGGTCCTCCTTAACAATCCCTAGCTACTGTTGTTAACTCAGCTATGCATGTCTCTAGGGGAAAGACTTCATTCTTTTAAATAGAAAGGAAACATCTCAATTGGAAATGAGATGAGCACACTTTAGAAAGATGCTGTAAAGCAGCAGATGATAAAGTTCAAGTTCAAAAATATATTAACATTGTTTAGGGTCATGTTTCATTTAAGAGATCATGTTTTTTTCTTGAGGAATTTTAGATGTTCCCAACCATTCACACAGTTTGAAGTGCTCTGAGAACCTTCGAGCCAACTCCACTCAAAATCTCTTTCCACTTTGATGTTTCACCATGACTAGTCTGCAGGAGTTGCCCAAACAGAAAGATGACACATCCAAATGATGTGTGTGTGTTTTTAAAGTAGACTCATAAAAAGACACTGGAAGTAGAACAGATTTTTATGTGCTTACATTTCTATATTCCTGCTTGTGTTATTGTATAAGGACATCGTTATGTCTGGTGTTGTCTATTTGGCAGACATTATTATTTGCCCACCCACGAGACATCCTCATTCCCTTCCTCATTGCAGGACTGCTCCAATATTTTGCAGGTATTTACTGTCATCTGAGTTTAAAGAAGGTTGCCCTGCCTCCAGGAGTGAATGACCACGTAATCATGGTCATTCTAATTCCCTTGATAATAATTATTTTAAGGGTAGGCATTAGATGTAAGCCAGACCAATAAAACAGGGGAACAAAGGATTTTAAGCTATTTTAACAAGGGAATTTCTGAGAAAACTTTTCTTCACTAGATAAAATTTTTTGGTAATTCTTCATGACTCTAAATGGTTTCTAGTGGTACACTGGAGCCCTCACTATTGAATTGAGATTATGTGTGTCTCCCCAATGCTGAATTCATTGTCATCATACTGGAGCTTGAAATCTACCATTGTTGGGAAAAATTATAACATAAAATCATCATACTGCAAATCAGGATTTTATTATATGTTGTTGTCTTTGTTTTCCAGAGAGTGGGTCATTAGACATTTACCAGAACACCACTAATAGTACCTCCTGAAGATGTGATGTTTGGCTCTGATGACACCATCTTGTCATCACAAACGTTGACATCCCTGCCACACTGAGACAGTGAGGGTGGTGGTGGTGAGAGTGTGATTGTGATGCAAAACACCTGGCTGCTTTATAACAGTTTTCAGCTACCAAACCAACCCTGGAAAGGCCTTGCTTCCACACTTCTT